CTTAGCCAGCTAAGCCAGCTGATAAAAATGTATTAGCTGGCTAATGCAGCTTAAAATCACAAGACTTTACAGCTATTCTTATAAATTCTGAAAAATTTGGCAAAAGTTGACTGACCAAATATTTGCTGATTCGTTTTAGCAGTAATAAATTTTTGATTCAGATGTAATTACATCTGAATCAAAAGTTTATCACTGCTAAATCAAAGCTTATCGAATCAGCAAATATTTAGTTAGTCAACTTTTGCCAAATTTTCTAGAATTTATAAGAACAGATGTAATATAGTATAAAAAAAACATAATTGCTATTGTAGAGTGTTTGATTTTTGGCCAATAGAATTGACCACCTGTGTCATATAACTTGGCATGCCTTTTGCTTTTTGGTATACCCATAGGCATGCCCTAGAGGTATGCTCATGCCCCTGTGCCCCCAACTCTAGTGAAGTATTATAACATTAAGATATTGCAAAATAAAGTTTATGATATGCAAGTTACTTGAAATCAGGTATGTTGATTGTGATACTTTCCTGCAGAATCATTTCTTACAGTTGATTTTTTATTAATAATATTAACTAATATTACAAATTTAGGGCCTTCTTATTATATAATACCATGATAAGATAAGCATAAATAAAACTTAAAAATGCTATAAGGATAAAGAGTATAACCTTCTTTATCAATAGTTTTATCTAAATTCATATGTTATGGGAAATTGAAATTTCCCAGATTGCTGGGATTGTTAACTTTTTCACTTTGCAGGAGCTAATTTCACCTAAAAAACAACAAAATAGAATCAGTATTTAGAACTTGATTGAAATAAGTTGCTTTGTAAGTGTGATCTGGTATTGTATTAGGGTAATATAATTACTAATATATTTTTTCTTGTAAGTTTTTAGATCTAATGTATAAATGGTATAAAAATAAGCAAGCTTTTACCTTAAGATAAGTTAGCAATAACATTATTTTTTGCTTATATATATTTTACTTGACTTACTTGTCTGTATTTTTTTAAAGTAATTTGTGTTATGCTTACTTTGATTTTTTGTATTTAAAAATGAAAAATGAGTGCTAACTACCTCCAAGACTAATAATAGCACCACTGCTATAACTAATATCACTACCACCCCCAAGACTAATGATAACACTACCACCATAACCAATGTTACCACCCCCAGGACTAATAATAGTAACACCCTCAAGACTAACGATAGCAATGCTTCTACAACTAATGATTCTAATGCCTCTGGGATTGTTATCCCAGTAGGTTATATACCTAAGTTGTATAGTCCCAGATCTTGTAAGTAAAGTTTATATTGTGTAAATACAATTACCAGGGACTTAGTTTTCTTTTCTATTCAAAATAGATCATATCTCTGATAAGCTAATTTTGTATTATACAAATATAGAGATAAGATTGACCATTCTCTTGATAGTTATATGTGGTATTCAACTAGTAATGCCGATTGTAGTGATCAGGATGATTATAATCCTTAATATATAATCAGAAAAAAATTTATTATTTATTTTTTATTTGTATATTGTTGGTTCATAACAATTTTTATTAAATAAAGAGGAGGTCTGTTAGGCACATCATTTTTATACAATCGTGTATTATTAATATCTAGTTAATTTCTTTTTATCTTACACTTTCACATTTACTATGAGGATTCCATTAAGGGTTTTCTTATATCAATAGAGACGATATGTTTTTTGTCACAATAATTTCTATCACCCACCAATCTTTTATACTATCTTTTTTATGTTCTTTATTACATGCTAGACATATTCCTGAATTAATATAATAATTGCTATTTTCATTGCTATATATAAGTAATAAATTATTGAATTGCTCCAATGTAATATAAATAACAAGATTTTGTCTTTCTTCTGAATTATTGAGTAAGATAGAAATTAGAAGATGAGAATTGAGAGATGCATTTTTGTTTATAGGTGATATATGTATCTCAGTTGAATCCTTTAGATTTATTTCCAGTGAAATATTATCTTGTAGAATATAGTTATTAGTATTTGATGAAGATTTGTTATCCTCACTTATCATATTTTCTGAATTAGAGATATAAGATGATTAGATAGAGAGGGCAGATGTTTCTTCATATATCATACTTTGATTTTTATATTAGAAATCTGGAATTAGTTAGATATGAATGGTTCACTTAGCTCAGTTTCAGGTAAATCATCTAAAGAATTTTTAATAGAATTATCAAGTAGATCAGTATCACTACTTTTAGAAAAATAATTTATAATGGTTTGAATTTTATTATTAGTTAATTCTGAAATAGAATTTGTACTATATATTTTAATATATTTAATTTTATCTATACCAATTATTTCAAATAATTTATATATTTTAATCGCTTTCTGGGTTTTTCCTTGCAAGTACTTACGTGAAATTTCTGGGAGTTGTAAACCTGTATCTTTAGATCTCTTTTTACAGAGAATAGTCTTTTAACATTTTATTGTAAATAATTCATTTTGCTTTTTTTTTTTACCAACTTTACCATTTTTTGTAGTTTCATTAACTTGGATTACAAATTCTTTCTTATAGTAGCACCAGCATAAAATTTTTTTCTGATTTGCACAAATTGCACCAAATTTAGCATCAGTCGCTTTATTAAATAATTGAGCTAAAGTAAGCAATAGTACTGTAGAAGAATTCAATCCTGTTGTGATAAAATATTATTAGGACCAAGAGTGAACCTCTGTTCGTCACTTTGAATACTATCAGATATCATTTAAGAAATACTCTGCCTCTTTTTTCTTATTACTATTTTTTGGCGGAGATGGCCTGGCCAAAATTTCGAACTTTCTGAATTCAGTATGTCTGAATTAAGAAGTTGAAGAAACTAATACCTCAGATATTACCTCTTCTGGTAAAGTATTATCTGAAAATAGGTTTTGTTTCTAAAGTTTCTTTTCCCTAATTCTCTCTTTACTAACCTTTTCTTTATATTTTGAATCTAGGAAATCATTCATTTTCTTTTCTTCTAATAATTTAAACTTTGTACAGATAGGTTGGTATATATCAGAATTTGAAACATTATCAGATGCCAGAGCATTCTCATTTTGTATAACAATCTGTTTATAAGCACCATTAGAATTTGAAGCATTATTAGTTATACCAGATTCTGGAATATCAATGTATTGTGAAACTATTTATTCAGAAGTATCATTAGAATTTACTAAAGATTGTGAAACATTAGTAATACTTTTTTCTCCCTGTTCTAATTTTGTGATTCTGGTTTCATATTCTTCTAAAGCTTGTCTTAATTTTGCATTTTTATACATAACTTTAGCATTCTCATTTCTAAGTTCAGTATTCTCAGCTTGAAGCTTTGAATTTAATTTTTCTAATAAATTGATTTTAGATTGTGTATTTGCCATTACAGTATTTTATATATCAAATGCAGTATATTCAAAATAAAAAAAATTTTCAAAAATTCTCAATCATAAATGCAATTTAATATACATCAATAACAATACAATAAATAAATTCACGAAATACATATGCAAAAGTAAACGCAATTATATATCCAGGGCTAGCTTTATTAATAATTGACTATACAGCGATAATAATGAGCGATAATAATGACATGCTAAAAAATAACATAATAAACTACAGCACTTGTTTTGTTTGATCCACACCCTTTACCAAACCAACATACAGTACATGCTATCACATATTCATTAAAAATGATCTTACTACTCGTATTCCATTGGAGTCATACGTTTAACTATCTCCATTGTTTCTTGATTTTCTCCCATCACAGGATCAACAGACAATAAATGTTTAAGGCTATTTGTGATATCATTAACCTTGTTCGATGATGAGTCTGATGTAGACTGCTCTAAGCAATTGTAAATGTTCGACGATAGTCCAAACAATCCAAGTGAGGTCTGAAAATGCTCTCGGAACTCTTTGATTTCAGAATCTGAAGCATCTGAATCTCTATTATTTTCAAGTCTAATCTTCTTGATAAATTCCTTTCCTGTTTCTTTAGCATCCGTTTCATATACTTCTAGTACTTCTTCAATTTTACGTTTGCAGGAACCCATGTTACGTGTTGTAGTAAACTTTGACGGAACGTCAGCTGACTCTGATTTTGCACCTAATTGCAAATACAAGGACAAAAATGGCATGTACGGTAGTTCCTCAATGCCTACATAGGCTGGCGACAGAAGAGTAGTTGCGGATTTTTTATATTTATATCTACTATTATTAGAGTGATTTTTAACTTGTATTAGTATGTATGAAATACGATCTTCATTAAAGTTTTCATCAAGAGTGCCCATATATAGAGGTATTATAATATCTGCTCCCTGCTGATTTCGTTTACATGAAAATGCAATACCGCGAATCAGAGCTTTCCCAAGATTCTTTCTATCTGGAATATATCTAATATTGATAAAGTGTGTGAAATTAATATAAGCTTCACCGAATTTTCTTCCTGTAAATTTTACTGTCTCTTCAAGGCGATTCTTTATTTTCTCATAAACATTGTCCGCGAGTAATG